TCATATGATACCATGTGTGCTTATACTACATTGGAGCATGATAGGAGAGTCAGGGGTGGGAAGTTTCACACAGCACTCACATGAGAACAAATAGACCTTTCAATGTCTAAATCGAGAATTAGACAATCGAAACTCTATTTTGATAGTGTCTGACGTTAAGACATATATACCAGGGATATTTCCATGGCTGATTGTATCATTCATATCAGCTTTTACTCACAAAGCTTTTTTGAGAAGTCTGCGAATCTCATCATGAGGGGCTGCTGATTACTGAATCGTTCGTTTTGATAATTGGAGACTGTAATTCTCTCCACCAGCCGCCTTGGAAGTCTCCTAGTCGTCAGAATTATCCTCACGATTCTTTCCGCAAATTAATCAGTCTCCCTACCCTTGAGTTTTGGCATATAAATACAGCATCCCTCAAAAGAAAGCAATGCACCCAAAAGAAGTCAACAGAATCTTCAACCGCACTGTCTTCAAATCCCCAATCTTTTCCTCTATATCCTCCCTCACAGAACGCCTTGTCACTCTCACACAATGCTACGGGTATCTCTTAACCGCCATTCGAATCAATCATGGGAAATCTTCTCATAACCGCCATAGCCAATTTTCTCCATGTGTACGCCTAATTGATATATGTATGACCGACACGACAGGAATTACCTACTCTCATATTAAATATCCAACAACTCGGTTTCGTTGAGGGGATGGTGGAGAAAGAAGTCGGAGTATCAGTGGAGATCGCTCAAGACGTCGTAGTTGCCTTTGTCGGCGAAGTAGTAGACTTCGGGTACTTAGAAGCTTAGCATAGGCTTGAAGTGACAGGCTATCTTCAATAGCGTCTGCGGTGTTCAGCTGCAAGATGTATGGTCTGCTGGTTCGGGTTGAGATGTTTTTTCTGAGGGTTGTCGTGCTGCTGAGAGGATTGAAAGGAGGGATGTGAAGGATGATATGGTTATTACCCCGAAGATGAGCAAGTATTTTAGTGTGGTAAAGTTCAATATGGAAAGTCCGAGGGTGAGTGTACGTCGCTTCAAACTTTTCCGAGTGCGGAGAATTTACAAGATTTCGAGATCTTTCATCTTTCTTAGTCGCTATGCTTGTAATTAACAAGAATAGCATGTAAACTGAGAAAAGATCGTTGAGCGATAAAAGTAATAGTAGTTTATTTGTCAAATACCGGTATTACACTTCGGCAGGCAATATACGCGTCTAGGAGTGAGGAAAAGAGATATTTTTCGTTGGGTATGTAAAAGCTTCCTGATAGACATAAGATGATAGAGGGATCAAACCATTCCAAGTTGCTTTTTGCGCAAGAAAGTAGTAACTACCATGCTTGGCGTGCCTGGATAAGGAGTGGGGCGATGATCTCGCTTACCCAGGCTAACATATGCAGGGTTCCACAGGGGTAGCGAGAAAGACCTTGAAGGAGTTTTACATGCGGTGTCACAAGAAATTCTAGAGCTCTGGCTGTACCGATACGTGGCGTGGCGTTATGTATTGCATCAATCAATTTCAAGAATTGATTTGGAAAATTCTAATCGTTTTCACTCCTTCCTTACGGTCGAATCATGTTCAAAAATCACGTCACATTTGGAAATCCGCAGCTCCTCTAAGCCAAGATTAACCGATTAGCTTTCAGTATCTATCATTTGTTGAGTCAATTTCTACCATTATCTTGCCTTAGCTAGTAGAATCGTGACTGATGTCTTAACTCAAGCACTCGAAATTCTCGCCAATCTGAATTGATTGATCGGATTCTAGCAAGAACGGTATGCGATAGACGAGACGGTACTGTTGTACTTTTATTCTCGGGTCCGAATGCTTGTTCGGTAACTTTGGGTTTTGTTCAATATCTAGGATAGTAATGCAGCAAAGCAAGGTACGTATCTTCTCTTCTCAATCTTATGCTCGTAGAAGAAAAAACTTTATAAATAGTGGAAAAATCTATAGAATTGGATCATTTAATAATATCTGGTAAGTACCAGTGACTCTTACATTTAACCCCCTGCTATAAGATACTTAGCTCTAATTCCGATCCCCCCTATGTAACCAAAATATCCCAAGCCATGAACTACCGAGTCCTTCCAGACTTAATACTAGTACTAGTAACTAGCCTCAGTACATTTTACATCTTCACTCACTCATTCACTCATTTGCTAGTATTCCTCAAGATACTCTAGTAATATAAGAAATAGAGGTCACGTCAAGATTAGAGTCCCGAGAGTGAGAGTTTTTCTGTTCCTGGAAATCTCAAAAAATGAGCATTTTCGCCTGAATTTTCCTTCCCGTATCTTCGTCTCACTTCCGCCATGTCCATTTTTCTGATCTTCACCAATTCTATCTTCTATCTTCTGCCTTAAGCCTCAGTCCATTTAAACTAATTCCTTCCCATATACATGGTACTCCAGCTCCAAAGCTTTATAGACCGAACAAATTGGAAAGTTCTCGTCACATTTCTTGTTCCTCACAAAGTCACACGACATATCTAGAGTTCCTTTCGGCTTCGATACTCGTTTGCCATTTTACGAGAACGGAATCAAAGATACCATGGTTGAAAATAAGTAAAAATGGGTGTAAAGATTTCTATAAAACGTAAAACGGGCCAAGGATACCAGACTTGCATCTACCTCCAGAAGTCCAGCTACTAGCTACTAGCTATCTTAGCAGAGTATTGCCCTCCAGCATTAAATCTCTGTAACACTGGCACGAAATCAATTCTATCTCGATAATCCCCGCCATAAATTCGAACCAAATAGTGCATCTCATAGCCCTCCATTTCAGATAAAAAGTATAAAAAGCACATAGGAAATGCCGAGCTTAGTTATATACTCGTAATCTTTAACGCATTTAAATGGATGGAAATCCCGCATTGCCTTCCTTTTGAGGGAAAAATGACAACAAGCACGACTTGAAGATATGCAACACTCGTATGGCCTGAAAGCGAATTTTACAGAGGTACTTTGTGTGTAAATAGCTGCAAGAGCACGGTCAGTTGACTATAAGTTTACAACGCTCTGCGGAAAGAAATATAGCAAATCATCATCGTGGAGTTTGAATCCAATTCGTATAGATAGAAATATCTAGACTCGTCCACTGGAACCCCCCCCCCCCCCCCCTATTCCATTGTAGTGGATGTAAGCAAACTAATCGATACAGTTAAGTTTAACCTCATGGTATAGAGCACAGGGGTGGACAGAGTGGCCAACCAGTTAGCTAGCCAATAGCGATGACTGTTTTAGTTATTAATTCAAGTTAGTAAAGTAGAGTTTTAAAATATTATTAGTGAGTTCGTAGATAATAGTTTAATCAACAACTAATTTACTAATTAAAAAGAATTCTAAGATTTGTTAATTTTGTAGTAGATTTACAATGTTTATAGAATGGATTACCTGTAAGTATCTTAGATAGGCTGCGGGACATCTCTACACAGTCTCTCTCTCTCTCTATATATATATGTGTGTCTTGCAAAACCCTGCCGAGTATAAATCAATTTATATGATATTAATGCTTTATTATTTAGTAATTCAGATTGAATAGTTGTTAGGGGCACGACTCTGAAAACCTAGCACCTTCTCATCCATTAGTATTAGCACTAGCTTGGTCATTAGTTATAAGAAAAGACGCTCTACTTCTTTCTTTTCTTTTCCATTGATAATTCCATTCATTAAAACAATCAATCTAGTTTTCATTTGCACCCATTCCATTCTGTGTTTGCATGTCCTGACTGTATTAGCGCAAGTGTCTCTGACCTTTCCACTCGAAATCTGATATTGTCCATCTCTTGAAGTTTCTCATTGGTGTGACCGTGTGTCTTCTCCCTTTCTCGATATTCGACTATGCAATTAAAGCAACAGATGTAGTATATCGGGTCATCCTTCCAATAGTATAAGGGAGTCTATTGATTAATTTTGCATTTGAGCAGTGTTGGATCAGGTAATCAGTTTAAGAGTTTATAATCTTCTTATCTATTCTTCGTGGTCATCGGGCCAATGATTAATCTAGTATCTACGAGTAGTACACAGAGTAGATTTGGAAATCTGATAATACTAACTCAACTCTAATCTTATTATTAGGGATATAGATTATCAATTGTGTTCCAAAAGGGACAACGGAAAAAGGATACTCGAGTACATTTGGTCAGTCTTCTGACTTTCCTGCTGCAAAAGGTGTTTTAAATGATTGAATAGATGCTAATGATTAGATTAAATGAAAGCTAGTGAGAAGGATTGAATTTAGCCTCCACGATTCCCTTGTATAGACTTGTATAAGGGAGGGATATCGGCCTAGCTAATACATTACTAATCTCTTATATAATACTCTCAGAGTGGGAGAAGTCTCATAAATAAATAAGGATTGTGATTTCAATATCAAGACTCAACTACAAGACGTTCCTATAAACTTGAGCCTAAGTAAAAAATGGTAAAAGCACTATTGTATAGGTATCTTGTTCTATCTACTTGAGTATAAAAATCAAACTTTGTTATCTAATACTCATAGAGTACAAATTTATACCGCCTTTATTCTGCCTAACAAACTAAGCAGAGCAGCATGCCGAACTTGGATCGCGAAGTCAGATTACTTAAGCAGTACTTTAATATATACCTAAACAAACCCCGCCTCTGCATCAACATGATAACAGATCTATAAGATTTCCCTGCTGGCGCAATGGTAGCGCGCAAGACTTCTATGCTGAAATCTTGAGGCTGTTGGTTCGAATCCAACGTAGGGAGTAACCCTAAGTTATTCGGTTTGATTCCGATTTCACTATCACCTTTTTGCCATTTTCTTTTGCATGTTTATCTGAAAATTTGAAAAATTATCTTTTTTGGTTGATTGGCACTTATTATGGATATTTCTTGAACCCCACCTTAAATCTTTCTGGTCAAGCAACCAACCCCGCACTTTAGTTTTGACCAATAAAAAGCTCAAACTACTTATCTAAGCTTCCCAAAATTAACATCCATCCCACCATTTTCTTCCCCCCCTTCAATACAAAAATGTCAACCAGCAAACGCTTCACTTGTCTAAAGTATCAATTTCAATCCCTTCCTCACTCACCTCCTCGTCGTCTCTATCATGTCTCTCCACGATTACGCGCAGAAATACCTAAACCCTCCATAGCCCCCAAACAATCAATCGATATCAAACACATACGAACCAACCCCGAATTATACGAAAAGAGCTGTCTAGAAAGGAACTACAAACTTCAATCTACATATCCAGCAAAGATCATAAGTCTATTCGAACAATGGCACCAACATCAACACGATGGCAGAGATTTACGAGAAAGGAATAATAAATTAAAGCTTCAATTGGCCAATCCGAAATCATTAAGGGATGACGATTCCGAAGAGATACAAAGCATACGAGCGCTCTCCAAACACGACATAATCGCCGAAGCCCGAAGTTTGAAAGACAAAATCTCTCTAATCGAATCGTCGGAAACCCTCTTGATGACCGAAATTAACACTCTCGCATCCTCAATCCCCAACCTCACATCCGATGTGACTCCACGCGGTTCAGAACCCAAAGTAATAGGAACCATCAACGAGCACCCGGAACCCATCCCCTCGGCTTCTGATCGAGTCTGGCGCTCTCACGTCCACATCGGCAGCGAACTCAATCTCCTCGATTTCTCCTCCGCAGCCACCACTTCCGGCTGGGGCTGGTACTATCTACTGAACGGGGCCGCCCTGCTCGAACAAGCACTCATCCAATACTCACTCTCACTCGCCCTCTCCAAAAAATGGTGTATCGTCTCTCCCCCCACCATGATCTACTCGCACATCGCATCCGCCTGCGGATTCCAACCGCGCGACGCATCCGACGAACAGCAAATCTATTCCATCGCGCAATCCGCCTCTGATGCCGCAAGCGCTAAACCCAGCTACTCCATGGCCGGAACTGCGGAAATCCCCCTCGCGGGCATGAAAGCCAACACCACCATCCACGAAAACCAACTCCCGCTCAAAACCATCGCGACATCACGCTGTTACCGCGCGGAAGCCGGCGCGCGCGGAATCGACACCAAGGGACTGTACCGCGTGCACGAATTCACCAAAGTAGAAATGTTCGCCTGGACATTTCCCTCTCTCACAAGCACGACCGAGATCTTCAACGAGATGCTCGCCCTACAAATCGAGATCCTCACCTCCCTCAATCTCCACTGTCGCATCTTGGAGATGCCATCGACAGATCTCGGCGCGTCAGCCATGCGAAAAATCGACATTGAAGCATATTTCCCCTCGCGCAGAGATCGCGATGAAGGGTGGGGCGAAGTAACTAGTTTGAGTATCTGTGGCGATTATCAAAGTAGGCGGTTGGCGACGAAAGTCGAGATTGTGGCGAATGGGGGGAAGGTCGCGTTTCCGTGGACGGTGAATGGGACGGCGGTGGCGGTGCCGAGGGTGTTGGCGGCGATTTTGGAGAATGGGTGGGATGAGGAGAGGATGGAGGTTAGGGTGCCGGAGTGTTTGTGGCCGTGGATGGGGGGGAGGAAGGTCTTGAAGAGGGAGTGATGGGAAGGTTGGGTGGTGGTGATGTTGAAATTGACATTTACATTGATGATGGGGTTTATGAATTAGTATATCTAGTAGGACAGACATTCACATGTCTGCTCATACCACATGCAACAGTTGATACCACACGAGATATCACAAGGCAAGATGTGAGAAGAGAAAAAAATGTACTACCACTACTTAACTACCTATCTAGTATACCGAGCCAGGGAATCTTTTTTAAAAAGTAAAAGTAACAAAACACAAAGATATAAGATATACTACTAATCGCTAAAACGCTACAGTATTCATAAAGAATAAAAAAAAATACAATCATAAACTTTAGGACTTCATCAAGAAACCTATATGGGTATAGGTCCTTTGGTAATCCCATAATGCCTTCCCTTGCCTTGCTACCAACAATTCCTTTCCTCCCTCCCTTCCAAACCAAGAAAAAGTTACAAGAATTAAACCAGTATAATGTAAAGCTTTCGATCAAAACAAGAGAACACCACCTGAAATCCAACACTCCTCGCGTCATCAACTAAGCAACCTCCTTTGAATACAACACCACCGGATTGTATTCTTTTCCCGCACTCCTCGTCGACAACTCACTATCGGTTCCTAAGTGACTCCCTGTTCCCACATCCGTCTCCGTTTCATAATCCGATTCCGATTCCCCATCCCCATCCCCATCCCCATCAATACATTCAGCATATTCCGTGCCCCCATTAGTGCCTGTCATAACAGTTCCATCGGCTGTAATAACGGTGGTACCATGACTGCTTCTCCTCATCGTATTCGAATCACTCCCATTACCACTTCCCTCCGCATTTTCATTATGATCATTCGGCTTCTTGTTCTCCTCGTCCTCGTCTTCGTATTCTTTCAATGCTAAATTTTCCTTATTCAACTCCCCGTAATTGCGTGGTTTATTAGACGCTCCTCCCCAGCTGGTCTTGCGTGGGCTAGCAGCACCTGATTGCTTTACACTGTGGCTACGTTTGAAGTTACCGGTGGGAACATTGTTATTGATTTGACTTAGGGACAGAATACGTCGCTGGGCCTGGTTGGCAAGAGGTCCTTTAGCCGGAGAGCGATTTTTCATAGCCATGTTAACGGCTCCTTGGGTTACGGATGGAGTCTTCGACGCGACGCTGGAGGCGATAGAATTGGCAGTTGAATTGCGTTGAGTTGGAACACGCTTACGGCTCATAGGATCACGTGCTGCTTTCCTATTACCCTTTGAGAGCAAGAGAGCTCGAGAATGATCAATGACTCCTTCGAGGATACGTCTTTCGAGTCCTTCGGCTCTTTCTTCCATTTCCTGCAGTTCTTCACGGCGAATCCTTAAGGCTGTCTCTAGGCTAGAGACATCGGAGGCGAGTCGCATCTTTTGGTGAATCATGTCTTCTTTGTCCGTTTTAAGCTTGGTGACATATCCCTTCAAAACTTTTTCTTCTTCTTTAAGTGAAGCAATTGATGCTTCGACTTGTACCTTCTGACCTAGACGTTTCTCGAGAGCAATAGCAGCTGCTGCGGCAGCCTGCTCCTTACTTTCATGATCGTCCGCAATTCTCTGGGTTTGGTTCGAGACAAATTGGGAGACTTCTGCAGCAGTTGCCATCATTTGCTGATTTAATTTGTTCAGCATCTCCAATTGTGCTACCGATTTTCCGGCTTCTTGTACGTGACCAACAAGCTTATCGAGCTTTTCGTGGACCGGTGTATCGTCGTATTTGATAGGAGGCGGAATCTCCGGTGGAGGAGGAATATCAGCAATTTTCTCCTGGATCGTCACTGAAGAGGTCTTGGAATGCTCGTAGTGCTGTCCAATAACGCTGAGAACATCTTTGATCGATTCAAGAATCTGAGGATTATACTCTGTCACAGTTCCTCGCACTCCTTCCACCACACCCAAAGTCTTCAGAATTTGCATACGTGTGAGTTGGTGCTCGACCTTGGAATCTGCATGAATTTCCTCAACTCTGACGAAAGTTTCATCAACACGATTAAAGACGGTCTTTGAAGCTTCTTCCATCTTCTCGGCAGACTCTGTCACATTAATTGATAACGTGTCGAGCAGAACCTTGACATCTTCGGCGACTTGCTTTGTGCTCAATATGTTAGCCTCGACTTCTGTAGTCTTCTCCACACCAGATGTGGCTCTTTCTTCCAAAAAGCTCTGGAGTTCGTCATACTTGGTTATGACTTCCTTAAACTTCTCCTCGAAATGCGAATCAAGTTTGTCCCAGGTTTGTTGGAACTTTTCGTCAGTCTCGAGTTTAGATCCAACCATACCAGTATTGGTCTTTTCAAACTCTTCAGTCATAGCATGAAACATTGCCTGTAGATCATCAGATATGGTGCCATTTTTGTTGATAGTTTCCCCAAGACCGTTGAGGAATGTGCGCACAGTCTCGACATTGGTTGTACCTTCGTCAAGCTTTTCCTTGACTGCATCTCTGAATTCTATGAGGAAGGATTTGACTTCTGTGACACGTTCGCTAACACCAACAGTTTCAGCCTGTCGGTCTTCGAAGGCTTTGGCGTTTGTCGCCGCATGTGACTCAATTCGGCCTGCGGTTTCCTTGACCAAGGTACCAAGAGTGTTGACTTCGTCTTTTGTGGCTAATGCTACAAACTCTGGAACGACGGTTTGCTCGATAGCTGATTTGATATCGAGGCATACAGACTCGACAGCTTCGACATCTGTCTTGGTAACCTTATCGAGACTATTGAATTCGGTATCGATCTGCTCTTTTATCTCTGCAAGACCAACCATAACCTCACGTACTGCAGTTTCAAGTGTGCTGATGTCATCTTTCTTCGAAACCTCCTCGAGATGAGTAGTCAATGAATCAATGCCGTCTCGTGCCTCGAGGACTAGAGCGCCCATCGTCTCAATGTCCTCCTTTTTAGCAGATTGTTCTGGATCAATCTCATCCAGCTTAGCTTTTGTATTGTGAAGCAAAATCTCAATCGCGTCAAGGTCCTCTTTCTTAATTCTATCTTCATCAGGAATGATCTCGCGTGAAACAACGACTTCCACCTTATCTCGAACATTTCGAAGCATTTCTTCAACAGCCGCCATATCTTCTTTGGTTACAGAGCCAGGTGCTAGTTGTGGTGGTGGTGGTTCCATCGACTCGATTGCCGCTACTTTGATGCCAAGCTGGGTGACGAGCATCTCAAGGTTCTCAATATCATTACGGGAAAGATTGTCGATAGCTGGGATCAAAGCAAGATCAGATATCTCTGCCACGGCTTGCTCGTTCTTTTGATTCTCTTTAAGAACGTCAAGATCAGCTCGAACATTTTCTAGGCCTTTCTTGAGTGTATCGAGGATTTCGTGATTGACGGTCAAATCAACAGGCTTGTTGGCAACCTTTTCGACCTCTGCCTTCAGGAGAGTGAAACCATCTTGCAACGCGTCAATGATGTCTCCGGTTCCTGGCATGCCATCCTCGTCGTCCTCTCGTGATCGCGAGATCTCCAAGCCAGCCTTGAGACCATCGAAACCTTCCTTCAGTGCATCAAGGATTTCGTCCTTATCATCGCTTGCTCCTGATCGAACCAATGCCGATGCTATCGAGCCTCGAAGATGCTCAAGCTCTCCATGAACAGTCTCAAAACCAGTACTGGAGCTCTTGGAAATGAGCTCCTCCACCTCGGAACGGAGCGTAGCGAAGTTATCCCGCATGTTCTCAAGAATCTCATCTTTGCCTGTAACATCTGAGGCTCGATCAACGTAAGCCTCGATATCAGAGCGGAGCTTTTCAAATCCATCTTTAGTTGCATCAAGCAACTGCTCGGTGTCTCGTCCATGTGCAGCAACATTTTGTTTAGCTTCATCCGAAATTTCCTTGAACTCGGTTCGCATAGATTTCATAATTTCTTGTAGGCGTTCAGAGATTTGAGCTGTGAACTTGTCAACTGACTGAGGTGAACCTTCTAATCCTGCCTTCACGGCTTCATAAACATCATCACGAGTAATATTTTTCACAACTTCTCGGCTTAATTCGGTAGACACCTTGGCAGCAGCAAAATCAAAGTTCTCGAGACCCTCTTTAACTGCTTCAAGGATGTCTTCTCGGTTGACCTTGACGTCATGTTCTCGAGTGAGTGCCGAGTCAAGTGTTGTTAGTCCTTCCTTCACTGCATCGAAGACATCATCACGGCTGACACCCACAGGAATATCAAGGGTAAGAGCGTTATTGAATGTTTCGAAACCTTCTTTGACAGCGTCAAAGACATCTCCTTTGCTGGCATTTGCCTCTCTAACGCTAACAATGGCGGAATTGAAGGTTTGAAGGCCATCTGTAACGGCTTCAAAGACGTCCTCACGTGTGACGGTTGGTGGGAATCTTTGAGATTGTAGACCAACCCGTACGGCCTCGAACACATCTGCTTTAGTGCATGTTGGGGTCACGCCTCTTGTCAATGCCGAATCAAAGGTTTGAAGACCATCTTTCACAGCATCAAGTATATCTTCACGAGTGAAACTACCATTCTTGACTGCTTCAAGAATATCATTCCGGGTAATGCTTCCTCCAATGTCGTGAATCTCAAATCCGTTCTTCACAGCATCAAAAACATCATCCCGGGTGATAGCATCAACATCCCCTCGAGTCGAGGCCAATTCTTTCGATTGAAGGCCGTCCTTTATTGCTTGGAGCACTTCGTCGCGCGTGATGCTAGATGTGTGGGATTGAAGTCCTTCCTTCACAGCTTTAAGAAGATCGTCTCGGGTGACCGTTGGAGAAGCCTCTCTGGTTAATGCGGAATCAAACGAGGTCAATACCTCTTGAACAGCATCGACAACTTCATCGCGAGTAAGGCCACCTTCAGTATGATGACTTTGAAGGTTTTCTTTGACGACTTCATGAACATCATTGCGAGTAATTCCACCACTAGATTTGTGTGATTGAAGACCAACTCTAACTGCTTCGAAGACTTCATCACGAGTTGCAGCTTCCCCAGCGTTTTTGGTTAAGGCGGAGTTGAATCCTTCCAGAACCTCTTGCACAGCATCGACAACATCTTCACGAGTAATTCCTTGGCTTGGGCCTTGAGTCAAGGAAGAGCCATGAAATTTGGTCATGACTTCTTGCATTGCATCGACGATTTCCTCGCGGGTTGCACCACTTTCAGTATTTCCACGAGTAAGAGCGGAATCGAAAGTGGTCAAGACATCCTTCACAGCATCCATCACATCATTGCGTGTAAGATTCCCACTTCCTCCAACGTCCTTGGTCAGAGCAGAATCGAAAGTATGAAGACCCTCCTTTACAGCATCAAATATGTCGTCTCGATTGATACCGGGATTTCCACCAACCTCGCGTGTAAGAGCGGAATCAAATGTTTGTAAGCCATCCTTGACAGCCTCGAATATATCGTCTCGAGAGATTCCTGTTTCTTTATCCTCGTGATCAGAAGCCGATACTAATGCACTGAAATTAAAATGTTGGAGACTTTCTTTCACGGCATCGAAAACGTCTTCTCGGCTAATACTGTCTCCCACTTCTCTACTCAAAGTGGGGAACTCGAAGCTTTTAAGGCCTGCTCTGACAGCGTCAAACATGTCGTCACGGGTAATGGCCTCCTCATCATGATGGGGTAGATGGATACTGCCGGAGAAGTCAAACGTGTGTAGGCTTTCGGTAACTGCACCTACCACATCATCTCGAGTAACACCTTCGTCAACTTCACGGCTCTGATTCGTAAGGCCGAATGTTTGGAGTCCTTCTCTAATGGCAGTCACCATATCGTCTTGTGTGATGCCGTCATTATCTCGATTGAGGGCAGCAAAGTCAAATTCTTTCAGACCTTCTCTAACCGCTTGAATCATTTCAGTTTGTGTAAATCCTTGGAGAACCTCTGGAGTAAGTGCCGTCGGGTTTGCAGAAAAGTCAAATGTTCTGAGACCTTCAGTGACAGCATCAAGCATGTCGTCTGCAGTGACTTCAGGTTCGCGAGGCTCTGGCATTGGTGCAGCGGGAAACTCAAACTCCTCGAGACACTCACGAACTGCGTCAAGAATCTCGTCCCGAGAGATCGATTCGTTATCAATTGGTGGTGGAGTGAAGTGCTTCAATCCTTCAATCACCGCAGCAAAAACTTCATCTCTCGTTGCTCCCGGTTCGTTTTGTGGCGCAAACTCCTGAATACCTTCCTTCAAGCAGACCAGTAGTTCCTCTCTCTCGAGACCAAAATGTTGCAACTCGATGTCGGGCTTGTAATTTTCCCACGCTTCCCTGACTGCTTCGATGATGTCTTCTTTTGATTCGGATTTTTCGACTACTGCTGAGCGTACCACATTGTAGACTTCTTTATAGTCAATTTTCTGTGTGGCAGCGGAGGCTGAATTTTGTCGACGACTTTCGCGAATGAGTTGGTTCATATGCTCTTTCAATTCCTCTAGGCCGTTTTCAACCACACCAGTGACATCGGCACCATTGGAAGCACCATCCCTACTGGCCTGATCTAGTTTCCTGCCAATCTCTCGTCCCATACCCAAAACCTCGCCGCGAAGTTCTCGGACCAGTGCCTTAACTTCAGCTGTAAGCCCACCTCCTTGAGCGACGCTATCCTTAACACTTCGTATAATTTGGAGGACATCGTCGCCTAATATTTCACCTAGTCGACTGGGTCCTTGCGACTTGCGTCTTTCCCTGTCTGCTCCGGTGGCAACAAGAGCCTCTAGTTTTTGTGCAACAGAAGCAGGCCTGTCAAAATCCAATTCTAGTCTCGGCGGATCCTCCTCGAAGCTGTACTTACGTCCTCTTTCCTCTCCGCCGTTTTTACTGTTGTTGTGATGAGTAATAAGAGCCTGAGAGATCTCGGTGTTTTTCTTGATGAATTCTACCAACTCCTCTAGCTTTCTGGCTGTCGACATTCCTTCTCGGCCAAGTTGCTCAGCAATTTCCGTAAGTCGAGATATTAATAGCTCCTGCCCTTCCTTCGTACCCATCTCTCGAAGTACCTTCTCGAGCAAAGCTACACTAGCAGCATGCGCAACAGCGTCACTACTATGTTCTCGGATATGTTCTCTCGTGAACGGAGTTGACAATAACGTTTCTCGATCCAGTGAAGCAGCGAAGCTGTTTGGGCTAGGGATCCGAGGAAGAGAGAATCCTTTCGAGTTTCGTGACGAGGACGGTGAAATACGTCCCTTATTCTCCGCAAAAAGGTTATTGCCTCCATATAGTGTACGCTCGGAGCCAGCGTCAGACAAGCCAGTCACCAGTTCCCGGAGACTCTTTCGTATGTCCTCATCCCTGGCATTTGTCGCTTCCTTGAGACTGACCAAGTCGGTAGCGTTATCCTTACTTCTCCTACTCAATTGCGCCATCTCTCTTTGAAGACTAGTGCATATACTTGTGAGACTAAGAATTTGATTTGAGATAGCATCGAACGTTTGAGGTGTGCGGACTAAAGCAGTAGAGCCATTTGTGACATTGGCCAGAGGTGGATCTGTCTCTTTGTTGGCCATGTTATGAAGAGCCTGCATGGTGGCAGATTGAGGAGGTGTGTTTTCGCCAAACATACTGTGGGGTGGCCGTCGCAAGGAAGGCCTTACATGCATGGAGTTTCGTCTTTCTCGAGGCGACTCGGCTCGATTCTTGATGGGTGTAGTAGCTCGAACAGAATCCTTATCTGACACCCGGTCGGAGAACTTTTCGGGTGACTCAAGTACGAAATCCTTGTTGACGTGTGGTGAGGCAGGTCTTGTCGATGGTTTCTCTGGAGATTTCAAAGGACCGAAAGTTCCACTTTCAATGAAACTACTCAAATCTCTAACATTACCATTCTGTAAAGATTGCATTCGTTTGTGACCCGGAGCAGTACCCTTGATCAGTAAACGTTCGGGAGATGGTTCGGTGAGGCGTTTCTGAGGTGCGTTTATGGCATAGGCATTTTCTCGGGCCCTTTCAGTGAGTGCCGCATGTGCGGACTTGATGGCTGCCGATGTTCCTCGTGAAGAAACCTTTGGGGATGCTGGGTTCATAGGAAGTGGAGGAGGCGCACGTTCTGGGTCAGAACTGTCCCACCTGTAAAGATATGGTCAGAAACCTATGTTGATATGTAGAAGACATAAATAAAAGCTTACATTGGAACAATTGCTCGTCCACAATCTATTGAAGTCATAGAATGTGCAGAGTTTCTGTGTACAAGAGCAAGTCTATCGCCATCGCGAGAGGCTTCTCTTTCTGAAGAAGGCATTATGGGAGGAAATATTCCCCGGAATGTGTTTATGTGGAATGCTGATATGTGGAGAAGAACCAGGGAACTTGCAGAAGTTTGATATAAATCCAGATATGAGTATGAGGGATGGGGTTGATGAAGAAAAGTATGGGAACAAACACTCCAAATTATGCAAAATCCAAGGAGATTATGATTGTATTAATTGTAATTGCCAAATAGCATTGAGGGGGTATCGAGGATTGAATTGAGCATAAAGCATTGAGCATTTGGGGGAATATTTTTTTTCATTAAGAGGTTTTAAAAGTTTCCATAAAGTACGGGAACGGGGAAGACACAAGCACAGCGGTAAAGGGTATTTGTTTACTTTCTGAGCTGGCTGGGGACGCGGGCGGGGCAACCATAAGCAGTGAGTTAGGTTTAGTTGAGCACAGATAGTTTTAGGGTAAATTTCTAGCGCGAATCAACGGGACGCGAAATTTAAGTTACCTAGACGGGACTCGAACTGGATTTATTGGATTACAGGCATTAATTTTGTAGCCACGTAGCCACACTGAGTATCAGCCACACTCACTTTACTAGCCCAGTGATCACGTGTACTATAAGCGAGGGCTTGTTTCGCACACGCCAGATTTTATGGAAAAGATTCTGAATAACCTCGAATCAACGACTACACGACAAACCCTTTCGACAATTAACGACAGTCGAGATGAAGTGTATGTTTAATCCGAGAATCATTGATCGCGAGGTTGTGAAGTTTCTAATGTGATCAATTTACAGTCCTCAAGACCGGCCGTGTTGCCATCATCACTAGAGGCAGATATGCCGGAAAGAAGGTAAATTTTCACCCTTACCACCCATAACGAATACACGAACGGAATCGAGGAAATTATATGATCGTAACGACGGCGCCAAACGGGTCATTTAAATTGGAATTGTAAAGGAATACATGCTGATGGAGGAATAATTGCAGGTCGTGATCATCCAACCCCAGGATGCCGGCAACAAGTCCCACCCATATCCTCACGCATTGGTCGCCGGTATCGAGCGTTACCCATCCCAAATCACCCGCCGTATGTCCAAGGCCAAGCAAACCAAGCGCAGCAAGGTTAAGCCATTCATCAAGATCATCAACTACAACCATTTGATGCCAACACGTTACACTCTTGAGTTGGAGGGATTGAAGGGAGTTGTCTCTGCGGATACATTCAAGGAGGTTTCTCAACGTGAGGAGGCAAAGAAGACCGTCAAGAAGGCATTGGAGGAGAGATACACATCAGGAAAGAACAGATGGTTCTTCACTGCTCTCAGTATGTTTTTTTTTTCTTCCTTCACATGAGGTTTTTGTGCGGAGAAACGAGCAAGACTAACAATATTTTCCAGGGTTTTGATCAATTCTTCTGCGTCATGGGATCGGAATGGGGTTTTTTACATGGTCTAGTCGCATCATGAGCTAGGAATGCAGCATCTCCATCAAAACTGTCATAAAGCTTGCTTTTCCACATTGCAACGTGAATAAAATGTACATTTTGACAAAATCTCAGTTACCGATTACGAGAATTCTTGGAGAAAGTTTGGTTGATTGTGATGTGATTATAGAAAGGTGCGTTTCTATCGACAAGTGCAAGGCGGCATACTTCTACGATGTTACAAGCTACACGATCTTCAGCATTCGATATGGTTAGGCAGGGTGATGACATAGGAGTTATTGTTGTCGATATCCAATCTTTTTCAACAAATTTCAATAGAGCATGTCGAAATATTGAATTCAAGATCTATACCCGAGTTTAAGTTCCCGAGCTTTGAGTCTTCGGGTAGCTTTCAGTTTTCAGTGTTAAAAAGCATTTTGAAGTTTTGATATGCAAGGCCCAATTGCAATCATTCATGCTACATTAATTTCTCTCTCGGCCCAGGTGATAAAGTTGTCTTCGGTGTTGGGATCAGACGTGGTAGGATATGTTTCCAGATTGTCACTTGAACGTTGATTAAAAAGTAATTCCGCCAACGACATCACCACATTTAAAGGCAGAATATCCCCAATTCTATCACCTCTCAACATATAAGTCTCCCTCTCTACTCCACGGGACTAAAACTCTATCCTTCATCATAACACATTCCTCAACCATCAACCTCAAAAGCCAATTCCATAGACCTCTCCATTGTCAGATTTCCGCTTGAAGGATACGATACCCCAATACCCTGGCCCAAGACTTACCAACCACATCACTTGTGGTGGGTAGGTAGTAGGTACCGTGGTTCGAGTGCCGGTACTTGAGAGTAGATGTAGATGCGACAAAGATGAGAAGAGAAGGTTGATGCTTCTGGCGTCGAGTCTTTCTCTTGATATGTCTGGTACTGACTGTGCTGTACATCTTGCTGATTGATTGATGGGGTGTTCTTGATTTGTGATTTGGAAATTGGAAATTGGAAATGGAAATTGGAGTGCTGTGCTGTGTGTGTCCAATTGAGAACCGCTTAGTTTGTCAACTTGTTGATGATTTTGTCACAGAGTAAATGGAAATGGGAATGGGAATCTTCATTATACATACCTATTGTTATCTGATAGTTTCAATGGAGTCCGGTGTCTTTCCAACAAATTTCTTGCAGAAAACATTTCATACGGATGGATGACTTGCTTCACACCCAGGTCTCTCTCTTAACTGGAGAATCCTGTTTATATTCATTGGAGTTCTGTGAAGGGAATGCTCTGTTGAAATTAAACATACCATTACCACCTTGCAATAAATAGTAGCTAGCTAGCTAAAACTATTGACACCTGTTGTTGCATACCCATACCCATTCAAACCACCTAATCACTCTAAAGCAGAATCTCTATTACCTATTCAGATAGCTCAGCACAGTATAGCACAGTAGAAGACTTTCCTTGAACACCCCCCAATATAGTTTGTCGCATGCCGTATCTCTCAATCTAATTCAACGGATCAATCACATGAACATATCAAATAAACAGATCAAGTCAGATTCAGATCACTATACCTACCTACCTACCCAGGCAACACCCATTAAAATCCAAATCCAAATCCAATTCCAATTCGAAGTCATTCCTTCTTGTTCTTGTTTTGTAATACCTATTCTATTTACTTGCTTATCTATATGGAGAACATGGAGAACTCACATTCCGGGTAGTTTTGGGATTGGATTGGATAGGATTGGGTTGGGTTGGATTCGATTGGATAGTAAACAGTAGTTAGAATTATTTTATGTTATAACTGCAGATTCACTATCTAATACAATACAATACAATACAATACAATTCGGAAATAGATTATAGGTACAATCAACAGCTGTGCTATGCTGTGCTGTCTCGAAACTTGGTATGGTATGGTATGGTATGGTATGGCATGGTATCTTCTCCCAATGTCTTCTTCTCAATGTCTTCTTTCCAATCTCTTCTTCCCAGTCAATACCCGTGATGTGATAGGCAGACAAGAAATACCTAGGGGCCAAATGAGTATTTTGTTTTCATTTTTCTCTTCTTTGGAATTCTCATTCATAATTTCATATACAATGCTTGTTTCTTCGTCTGAACTTTGATTTCCCCTTTATGACTCAATCTAATAACAATTTTGTTAATGCTCCTCGGTTCCATTTCTATCTTTAGTACGTCGCTCTTTGTGCTTCGTTGTAGTATCAGGCTATTAGCTGGTATATCTACTAGGTACCTATTGCTAGGTTTTCTAATGGAATAAATAGCACTGACGGTGAACTCTGTAGAATCCGTACACTCTGTATTCAGGATATGGATGCTTATACTCTAGTAGTGTTCGAAAGGTAAAAGAAAGGGGAGGAAAATTGGGAATGGCTTGGCCTACTTTTTTTTAAATAAATATACTGAGTATAGATATATAGATATAGGTATAGGTACTAGGTATTATTTCAAAGAGAATACGACTTTGATATTTCAAAGGATTTCAGCATTTTATGATTCCGATCTATCATCTATGAAATAAATAAATTCAGGAATCGAGACTTTTATTGTTAGACTATTTATTGTCCGGACTACTAAAATCTGGAAATACTGTCTATGGTAGCCCCCTCCTTGTTTTTGTCGGTCCTTGGCTTCTAAAACAATGGAGAAGATGATATTTATATACTCGTATTTCCACTGCTATTAGCTCCTTACAAACGTGGATTTAGGAAGATTGTGGATTGTAATACTATCGACCTCATATTTTGGTAAATTCAAACTTGAACTTCTCTATTCTAAAGCCCAAATACACTGTTTTGATTCTCTTCCTTCCCTTCTTCTCCCCTCCCTCCTATTATTTTTCTGTCCCTTTGCTTTCTCTCCACTCCTCCCCGTCTCTCTACTTGTCTCATCTATCCCTTTTGCTCTCCGCGCTCCCTTGACTCCCTTTTTCCTTTTCTTTTCTTTTCTTTTCTTTTCTTTTCCCCCTTCAACCTCACCTGTCTCATCTCCCCCTCTCCCTCTCTCCATCTCTCTCTCCCCCTCTCTACCCCCCTTTCATAATCCATTCCACTCCTGCAATATTTCCCACCTCAAATCCGAACCGCAGTCCAACCATAAAACATTCTTGAAAGCTTTACTAAATTCCAGTCTCCATATATTAAAGTCATTCCCCATCATAAATCCTCCCAAAGTATCCAATCCAATCCATCTTTAGAAATGAATACTCTCCAAAGATCCAGCAATCTTCAATTCATGAATAACATCAAATGTGTACTACAGTCCGCAATAATGAATATACTGAACGGAACAATATGCCATAGATAAACATATTTAGATAACTTAATCAAAGCAAAACTTTAGATCGAGAATCAAAATTGCTACCACTGGCAGGCAATAGATGCCAGTATAGCAAACATACTATAATGCGGAGTAGCCAGTGCAGTTTCGCTTCAAAATATGTGACCACATAGACTCATAGTTAGAGAAGACAAGACAAGACTGACAACGCGATAGCGAGAATTGTTGAGCATATCATCCTACTCTAGAAGAAGATTCCCCGCCCCGAACGGTGAACCAGTGCCGTAGATAAATAAACGATGCATCAATCACTTATTAGACAAAATATCAGCGACTTTGGCCCTTTATTTTATTTCCATGCTTTATCAAATCGCTAACAAGTTTCTAACTACTACTCGAGTAGTTGTAAGTTTTACCAAATAATACACATCTAACCACCCTAACTTCCAAGAACACATAATAAATCAAACCGAGGCACATTCTGCTCGTTATACTCATAAATGATGAATCTGACCAATAACTACAGCAGGTACCTATCTATCTATGTATACAGTATGGCTGGGATAGAGGATATCGATCCGATATTCCAAGGTCTGAGTTTTGATTTGGTATGCCTTTTAGAAATACATACTATCTACCTACAGACGTCCCGCGTCCTACTTTCACGGCAATCGCTATATCGGAACTTATACAAATCTCAGATTTTTCAATAGCATGACTAAATCATACACACTTCGACTGCTTAGCTGACCGGTGCTGTGTCTGTCTGTCATACTTATGACTAGTTTTGTGATAACATTATACGATATATCGAATTCGAAGCCTTCGTTCTTTTGAAGGCTTTGAAAGCAACGCCATGTATGGTGTTTCTCGCTAGAAGAAAGGGGAACTCTAGACGTACAACTGTAATTGTTCATTGATACGGGCGTGCGATGAAATTTGCATTTGCGGGACCCATGGTTTCCAGAAGAGGTGTGAAGAATGAGAATACTATCATGGTTGATACTTCAAAGTTCAAACCCGCAAGCGTTAGTTGTAAGAGACACATTCAGAAAGTAGGATCGCAGCTATTGTCCATCTCATGGAATGGCTATTAGCTGTTTATACCTATTTGATCCTAAGGATATTCTAGCTAGCTGCCAACATTATTTGGAAGTTGTATATAAGGCAAATCGCGCTTCTAGGTTCACATGGCCAATAAGACACGACGATATAGTTAAGAGGCCTTCTCAGCATCCAGGAACATTGGAGAAAGTTCCAGCTGAACACATGGAGTATCAGGCACCAACCTTGTGGTTCCCGAGTTGATGATCTATTCCAAGCTACAGGACCTACGCTCTTGCTGCTATCAACGAGAGTCTACGCAGCTACCATACTATCGCCGCCCTTCATTGTGGTCAGCTAGATCTCTCTTCGATCGGAGAATCAACGGAGATATAACAATGGCCTTCGTTTTCCAACTAACCAGACAATAGTTTGAAGCTACCATTGTGCCACAGCACGCACACCACAATCCAGCTCACTGGCCTCAAGCCCAAAGAATTCCTACCAAGTATTATCTTTCCCAAGATGTTGTCAAAAAGTAACAATCCGAGCCGAACCGAACCGAACACACTAAACCCAAACCTTATTAATTACCCTGCTTGCTGCATAACAAGCTGCAAGCTCCAAGCTTCCCCACATATAAGCGGCCGCATAAACAATTGACAAGAGCCGATCGGGACACATTTACCATCCCAAGTTAGATTTGAATAAGATTAACCTACACTTTGCCTATTTGACAGTAACAGATAGACTACTTCTTGACAGATATTCACATAATATTCACTTCACATCTTTGATTCTTTGTGACTCTCTATCTTCAAGATTTTAAAGAAAGAGGTTTAAAAACTCAAGTCAACTCGAACTTACATACATACACATACGTCACAAAAGATTTACAATTCGCTTTTCGCAAACGCCAATATGGTATGGATTTCTCTTCTTTGCCTCCCAATTTCAATCATGAATCTCGGTCTCCCTCAATCTACACCAATCTCCTCCTATGTTCCTGAGAACTCCGCACTCAGAACCCCTACTACTCACCCAATTCCCTCTCCACCCCCCGGCTCCCCCAAACCTCATATCCCAAGCTAACCAATCCCTCCTCCCCCAGGTTCAAACACCCACCCAGCGCAAAGCCAACCTCAAGTTCGCCGCGGTAAACGAGAGCAAGCAAGGCAAATCAGAAGCTCAATTACAGAAGAAGGAGCTGAAGAAACAAAAGAGTCCTATTGGTAAAGGCTGGTTATGTATGTTTTGATTTCTATTATCTATCATCTATCTTTTGTGAACAGAGATTGAGGGAGGAGAAGGAGAAGGAGATAGTGAGGGGAAAGAGAAATGGCAGATACATCATGTACTTGCAACCGAACAAGACACAGAAAAGGGGAAAGATCATTCACCTACCTGGGTGTATAGGAGGGGGGGGAAGCGAAAAAGGCAGATCGACACAATCATGACCGACAGGAATGGCTTTTCACAGTGCAATGCAATGCGACGCTCAACCAAGGAGAACTAGAAGACAGACTCTCTCTACAGAGGACCCACAGTCATGCATGCAAAAGCACATAGCTAACAAGCAATCCAATAGATTTCTTGGCATTCATCCTGATCGGTGGATTAGGAATCGATGCCTTTTTCCGAATAGTTTCCTATTTCGGCGGAAAATAAGCGCATCGCGTCGCATCACATTTTGCCATATCACATCGCATCGCGTCGCATCACACTCAATTCTAATCAATTCTACTCAATTCTCTCTCGCAACCAACCAAGTTTTCCAGCAGCATTTCCAGCGGCATGGCATGACATCGTCCCGTCCCGTCCAAGACACCGGAAAGTGTGCAGGATTTACAGTATACTCGAGTATTGATTGTACAGAGTATTGCACATCACAAAAGCCGATCTCTCATCTAGAAGGAAGACATGCGAGATGAGATGCTTGTTATTCTAGGGGCTGTGCTGGGCTTGGATTGGCATGAAGAAAAGAGAGTCATTGCGAAATTTTTGTGGATGGATGGGAGTTATTCTAGGGTTTCGTATTTATTTGATGGTTGGCATGGCTTCCTTTACCAGTCGCCGGATTTCTTTGGGAGGAGTTTATTTTTTCTTTTGATTTGGCGCTACATACTCTGACAATATTGAACAATTTTCACTGGAAAGGCTGCTTGTGATTTATTCTATGTTGAGATGTGTTAATTTGTTCATGCTTTAATAAACTATTTCTAGAGTAAAGACGAACATGAAGAATATGTGAAGAAAGGGGAGCCGACTTTTAGAACACCCAATCCCTCGCCCACCCCCCAAAAGTATAACGGGAAACAAAAACAAAAATTCATGGATATTAAACCTTTTTACTTCGGCGCTTCTAGCAAAACAAATTCCATCCTCCATCCTCCATCCCCGTCTCATCTCATCCCACCCAGCCTGCCCAACCCAGCAACTTAATCTAAGCACCCAAACCTCTCCTCTTCGCACCCCCATCATGCTTCATCTTCATACCATAATCATACTGTTTCTCCAACTCGCTCTGGACCTTTTCAATATCTTTCTTTCCCTTAGCCTCTGCTCCCTTGGCACCAGCAGCTCCTCCCTTCCCTGCACCCAGTAACCTTAGGAACTTACTCTTGCGTTCCTCATCACCATCCAACGCATCTACGTTCCACTGTGCTGCAACTTCACCCTCCGCTGGCTCCGAAGAAGTTGCTTTTGACTTCTTTCGCTTCGAGGACTCTTTTTCTTCCTTGGAGCGTTTGCGCTTTTTGGTTTCTTCTACTGCTGGGGTTGGTTCCTCGACAATGACAACAGCGGCCTTGGCGGCTTTTTCGGCTTTTTCGGCCTTTTCGGCCTTCCTGCGGGCCTTTTTCTCCTCTTTGGTTTCCTCGGGTTGATCTAATGCTATCTCCAGGCTACCTAAAAGATCGAAAGTTTTCTCGCCATCCTCCTTGCTTTCCTCCTTCGCGGGGGCAGCTTCTTTCCCTCCAGCCGCCTTGGCTGCTTTCTCCGCTCTCCTCAATTCCTTCCTCGCCTTTCTATTTTGCTTTCCCTTCAAACTTGCGAGTCCCAATTTCGCCTCTTCTTCCCTCTTCGCTTTGTTCTGCAATTTCTTCTCGGCTTTGCGCTTTACACGGGCCTCTTTCAACGCAGCTCTTTCTACTTCAGTCATAACTTTGGGTTCTTTTTCATACACACCCATTGCTTTTTCTTGTCTTCGTGTGTCCTTCCTGACGCGCTGTATTTCCCTCTTGACAATTGCGTTTAGTTGTTCCTCATCTAGGTTGAATTTAGGCTTCTGTTTCTTCTCCTCTGCTTTCTTGGCCTTGGATTCTTCAGTTTCGTCTTCGTTATCGCTGTCCGAGTCGGAATCAGAATCGGAGTCAGATTTGGCTTCAGCTTCGGAATCAGAAGCTTCCTCGTCATCCTTGTCGTCGTCGTCGTCGTCATCATCACCGCCTAATATCTCGTTCTTCGCTTGGAGAGGATCGAAAGTAACACCCATTTTCTGTGCTGTTCTTCTCTTCGCCTTCATCAATCTCCTGAATCTAGCCTCTTCCCTCTGTTTTCTTCTCAGATCTCTCTTTGCATTTCCAGAGTCTCTCTTAGCCATGGCCAGTCTCTGCTCGATTTGTCCATCCGAGTAATCCCACAATGCCAACCAATTCTCCTCTCCTTCCGGTAAAGCAATTCCCTCTGGAATAATCGGTCTCGGCGGAACGGGTTTTGGTTCGTACATCTTCTTTTTCTTGAGGGCTGTCTTCGAAATGTGCGATTTTTTCTCTCCCTCAAGAAGCCCAAGTCGTGCCGGGTTGACGCCTTCTGGTACAGCAGCATCTCCGTTTTCAACGGGCTTCTTTACTTCGGCAAGTTCTTGTTTCCTGTCCAAACTCTTCTTACTCTTCACAGTTCCGTCCTCTAACGTAACTACTTCTCCCACATTGAACGATACTCCACTAGGATCATGGACCGCGGCTAGTTTTTGAGCTTGATTAACGGCATTCAGGCGGATCTTGTAACGTTCGACATCGATTGCATGAAGACGATTCCTCTCTTTGTTTTTGTTGTATTTTTCTGGGTTGCGAGTCTACAATTACAGATTTGATTAGTCTCTGGCCCTATCCAAATCTACATTGAAAAGCCCAAAACTTACAGCCCGTCTGGTCATGATACCATTCAACTTTCTAGCCTTTTTCGCATCGGACTTGGACTTCTTCTTCTCCTTCTTGGCCGCATGTCGTATTTCACGCGCAATTCGTGCTCGATCCTCTAGAGATCCAATTCATTAGCATCTGCCATTTCATCCCAAAACAAAGTCACAAATCTTCAACCCCAAACTCAAATCCCAATGGGCAACTCAAAAAGTTCACAAACCTACCTTTTGTAGCCCCAATAACCTTTGGCTTTCCAGAGGAAAGCGTCTTATTTCTGTAACCCTCATCGCGCTTCTTCATCGGTTGATCAAATTCGAATGTCTCACCCACTCCGCCGAGGGGAATGAAATTTGCTGATGTCTCCATATTGTTTACTTGTAAGAGACTTACAATTTGAGAAATATGTTGCTGGAGGATAGTTTTGAAGTTCGTGATGCGATTGGGATTCTTTTTTTGCTTAGGGTTGGTTGGTCCGAGCTCTAGGTTTGATAAGGATAAGGATGCTGGTCACGTGTGCCAACCCCCTTCTTGTGAGGTGAGATGGGTTCGGGGACTTAATCAGAGTGGAAGGAACGTCAAGGGGTGAGGGCAATATCAAGCCAAGGATTTTTGCCACTTCAAATGCAGTTGAACAAGACACAAGTGCTTTGTACAAATTCATTAATATGAAGAACCCACACATATAATTTCCATCAAAACTCATGACTACTTCTATATGGTATCCGTTGCACGCCCCATACGCCACTGAATGCTTCCTAGTCCGCTATACATATTACGCCTGTTCCGTGACCTCTTGTTCCACCTTTGGCTTCTTCTTCTTCTTCTTCTTCTTCGGCTTCATGACACCTGTAGTCGTAGGAGCTACAGAAGGCTCACCCCCTCCTTCATCGACCACAGCATTCTTAATTTTCTTCTTTTTCTTTACCACTGCTGCTGATTCCCCTTCTAATGGTTTTGCCTTCTTCTTCGTTTTCTTCTTCACCACCGTACCTTCTGGTGGAACATCTTGTGCAGCATGTATTCTCTCATTGGCTCTCTGCATCTCCAGCCGGAGTCTTTCTACCTCTTTCATGGCTTTCACCATCTCAGCCTCCTCTTTCTGTTGACGCTCGAAATCAATGCCGCTGGTATTGTCACCTTCAAGGGAGAACTGTCCGATATGGCTTGAGTCGACTTGTAATAGAGATTGCTTCCCTTTCGCAATCCGTGACTTTATGGGCCCATCAGTACTGTTTTCAGAAGAATCGTTTGCAGGTGTTGAAGTTCCACTTAGGATCAGCGTTTCATCAGCAGCCACTTGTATTCGTTGACGGGGCTTCTTTGAGGGCTTCTTATTGTTCGATTTAATTAAATTCGTCTTGCCGAGGTCTAACTGCATGATCGGTATCGCGTCGATGTCCAGTTCTGGCCCATTGCTACTTTGAAGAATGTTATGAAGGGGCGTGGACGTGCCAGATGCAACGCCATCATTTGGTGCGATATAAAACGGATCGTCTCTATTCCTTTCCAGCCTCTCTGCTTTCCGACGTGCAACAATATCGGGATCTAAGTATGATTCTTCGCTGCTCTGTTGGTAAGATTGAGCAGGTTGATCGGGGCTTCCAGCAAGACGATTGATAGCAGGCTCGTTGGATGAGATTGAGGTAGGGTCTGGTTTCTGATGATAATAGACTTCGTATCCGTCGTTTGCGGGCTCATCGAAGGATATCGTGTCGACATTCCGTAATAGGTTATGGAGATTTGGATTGATCGGCTGATCAAGATCCAAATTAGATGGCACCGGCACATTTTTTTGCGCGCTAGCTGCAACGGAATTCAATTCCTGTCCCCTAAATAGAGAAGGCAATGCTTGTGTAAGCAAAAGTGGCGCATCTTGCTGAACCGATTCCGAGGACGGTTCTTGACCAGTTGTTGCTTCTGCTGCCAACTTCAAAAATTCCGAAAATTCAACCGCTCTCTCCTGAACCTCCAAATCAGGGTGCATTGCCAGGGGCTCAAGAGCATTTATAATGCGTGCCATCAATAGTGACATCATTGTCTTCCGTTCGGGCGTCCAGAATGACTGCTCATCATCAGCTATCACAGAAAATACCTTTGGTAATGCTTGGAGATACACAATAAGACACTCGGCAGAGGTTGACACTTTGGCAATGTGCAACAGAGCAGTCATTGTATCTTCTGGAGATTCTAAACAAGAAGCATACTCTCCAATTGTCCAAGATATTGGTCGGAGTGCTCCATTTCCAGAGCTGACTTGGCTCGTCGTATCGATATGGGCTAGTACAAGTATTGATTCGGCAGCCCTAGCAGCTTGAGATCGGACTGCTTTCACTTTGACAGCCACATTCCGCAATTCATCTCCTATCTTTTCGGAGATATCATTGTCAGAGTACTCGTCTGATTCTTGGTTTGGAGACGAATTCGTGACGGGAGCAGTTCTGACAAGCTGAATCAAAATATCAATGTACCAGTCGAAATCAAGGAGATTAGCATAGTTGTTTATCGAGCACATTTCTAGTATCCTGGTGATAACATCCACCTTGTAGTCATCAGGCAATAGTAGATCTTGTGACGATTCCCTATTAGACTTGATTGCAACTTCCGGAGCCTCATCGTCCGAATCTGCTTCGAGCTCAATTTGTCCAACATGTCGAGGGTTGTAATTACCTGCGGGTATTGAAGGAGAGCTTCGAAGTTGTCTCATCAATCTTCCAACGATAGACATCAGATTATCGCTGCTGACCATACCCACAACCAAGTCTAATGCACGCAACCGGATGGAGATATCAGCACTATCAATGCAGTCCATTATCACGTCTTCTTGTTGAGCAACAAGAAATGGATGGGTAACAACAATCTTGTTGAAAGCGAGTAGAGCAACATATTTTACTGCAATTATTTAGTCCTGATAATACAATTGGGAATTGCTGACTTACGATTAGGATCTCCCTCAACCATGATCATGCCGCGTAATTTGCTCACACAAAGAGTGGCTATCTCCTCACCTCCCGCGGACTCATCACTGCTTCCAAGAATTCCTCCTAATATAATGCCATTTATACATTCATATAGCAGTGACATTGCCGGGGTAGTTCGTATAATCGATGTGAGTGGTGGTAACAGTTTTTTGACCAATCTTGGCTCAAGTGGAGTTAATGTAGCAAACTAGAAGAATGTTAGATTATAATTTGCTAGATGCATCCTACAACTAACCAGTTTAATGAGCTTGATCGCCATCCAATTGTTCCCACTATCCACAAGGAGCTCAAATAACCTCGGCGCAAGGGGTAAAAAGTCCTGAGGTCTCCGCCATCCCAGCTCACAAACAACATTAACGATTGCTGCTGTGACACTTGGATCCTCGTCCTCGTCCATCAGTCGCTCCTTGATCTTTGGCCATGCCGGTCGTAATGTGTCCGGGTAGACTAGGGCCAATCTATAAAGTGTAACAATAGTTTTCTTGCGAATGGTCGGGTGCGAATGTGTCATCCGGGGCAATAGATCTGAGAGAACAGATAGCGCGAGCGAAGGAGTAATGACATGCGGTAAGGTTATGATAGGAAGAGACATTGTTGTCGGTGTGGCAGAACACAAATCCTGTGTATGTCTCAGTAATAGTACTAAAAGCTCACACGGAAAGTCAGACCTTCTTTAAGAGATTCTCAGCCAGCATCAGAACTTCAGTATCCGGTCTGAAGCTCTGCACAGCGCCCAGATATCCGACCCGTTTCTGCAGGTATTTCGGCGAGGACATAACTTCGAGAACATGAAAGGAAGCCCAGGACATGTCGTGGCCAAACATTTCCAGGTAGACCAGCTTCAGCAAGGCCGTAGCCTTGAGGTCTGCGGTGTATCTGTCAGTCAAAATGTACCTCCTCCTTCTGCCATGGACTCTAACCCATATCGGACCCTTTTATTTCCGCTCGACATTCTTTCAAACTATTTTGAATGTACTCCTTCTCGTTCCCTTTATGATTCCGCAGACCTCGGATGAGGTCGTACAAGGATTTTTCGAACCTGCTATAGCTTTAGTACATAGTCCTGGTTGAAAGTATGGTGGTTCCGAGCAAGGGCGCACATTTTGGAAGACTTATGCTTGTGGTGTGGATTGGTCCCCCATTAGAAACTTCGATTAGGGGAGCTTTGGAAATCCAGAATTGGTGAAGCGCATAATTTGTTAATTCCAGGATCAGCGGGAGATTATGGAATAGATGTGCTTGTTGAAGCGTTGTTAAGACTTCTTCTATATTGACCTAGCCAGCTACAAGTTGTCCATCCGATTTCATTTTCCCCCACTAGCCTCACACCGCCCGCGTCACTGATAAGTTAGCACACATTTAAGGCATAAACGTTTAAAACGAGGCATCAATATTGGAACCTTTCCGTCGAGATGAGAGCTTAACATTTATGTGGAGAGCTTCCAAGGTTCACGATCACAAGCTGTCCCTCCATCATTGAATTGGGCTTACAACCCCGGATCTTCATCTTCAATTCCTTTCCATCCACAAAAGCCACATCTACAACATCAGAAACAATACGATCATGTCATCTGCACTTCTACACCCGCCTGCGCATCTTCCGCCAGCATTGGCTTTACAAAACTCGCAACAAGCTCCCTCGATATTGCGAAACACCCCTTCATCGATATCATCATGGTCTTTGAGCTCTCTCTGGAATACCGCGGAATCGCCAGAACTATGGACTACTTACGAAAATCTATTGATGTCATGCCTACGGACTGGAGATGAGAAATCTGCGCAGCTATGCGTCCAGCGACTGCAGGAAAGATTCGGGGTTGAGAATGAGCGGATTATGGCAATGAGAGGATTAATATGTGAGGTCGGCGCAGAAGACGATGCAGCATTGAAAGTAATATTAGAAGGATACGAGGGAAGCTTGTCGGGCAATCCAAATAACATGGTAAGCTTACTTTAAGGTGTCTCCATACATATACTTACTAGCTGTCCAGCCTCTCTTAAAACGTCGCATTTCGGTTCTCAGGTCACTTGGGAAAACATCCGAGGCAATCACCGCTCTCAATGAGCTCTTAGATTTGTCCCCCACGGATGCAGAAGCCTGGGCAGAACTGGCAGATCTTTATGTCTCGCAGGGCATGTATCCACAAGGAATATTCGCACTGGAAGAGGTCCTACTCATCACACCTAATGCATGGAATGTGGGCAGCCCAACATCTTCCTTGGAACTCAGCAGTATGCTAACGACCAAATTCAGATTCATGCCCGATTGGCAGAGGTTCTATACATTGCCGCGGGTGTGAATGATTCGAGTTCGGACCGGTACCTTGCAGAATCTTTGCGGAGATTTTGCAGAAGTATCGAATTATGTGACGACTATCTTCGCGGATACTATGGTTTGAAATTGGTTGGTGATAATTTCCGTTTTGTCGGATCATTTTTAACACATCACAGGCCAGCAGTCAACTCCTCAGCAAGCCCCCAACGAGTCGAAACACCAAATCGGATACCAGTCTACCCTTACCAGACACAAAAACAATCGAGAAACTGAATGAGACTGCTACGTCTAAATTATCGGAAATCGTTCGACGAAGTGCTGCGAAAGAACCTGGCTGGGAGGGCTATGATGAAGCATCCCTCATCGCCGCTCGTGAATTGTTGACCAGGGAGTCGGCTTCTATTACTCGTTGATATTCATAGAAATTGATCAGTTCTCACAACGCGGAACATGCAAGGCACATCATCTTAATCATGGAGTTACAAGATTCCCATCGTCGTTATTAATGTGGGGCATATACTTGCACATTGAAAGTGCAAGGTTCCATAGGGTTTCTTAATTCGAGAAATTCCTTCCATCCATCAATTGCAGTTACGATTTGCATGAATTTGGTACCATTCAAGTTTTTAAATACATGTTTTCAATGTCATGGTCTAGAACTGGACATTCGAAAGATAGCTTACCAGCCCCTCCTGATATCGTGGCACCAGTAGGAAGGGCATTCATTTTGTCAATGTCGGTGCCCAATCAATTAAATTGGCTTTGCCGCATTGGGCATGAGGCTCGGAATTCTTGGGCACCATTTAAAGCTTTAGGCATTGGAAAAGGCGGTGACAAAGTTCTTTACAGGCGGCTCTGAAGCTAACGGAGACAAATTGGAGATGAGTCTTCTAGAATAGTGCCAACGCATGGGGGTTTGTAGTGATGGAAGGTCCGGTATATGTAGATAGACTCAGCCTTGAAGGTGGCCGATTACAGCTGAGACGCAACAATTTACCCAATTTTCTCCAAATACCACACAATTGCATACACTAGGAGGAATCTTTCCATTGTCCAATCTGCCGTGTAATATTGTGGACCCTAGTTTAAATAACTATCCTAATGTTCAGATATGCGAAAACATGGTCAATTCAATCACAAGATCAACTACATGAAAAGGAAAGGCTGAAGAACCTAGCCCACACAAGTTGACGCAACCCCGAAGTTCATAAAATCCAGAACCCCGAAGTGAGAGTTTTCCCTTTCGGCCCACACTTCACGCAGATCTGCATTTTAATTTAAAAAGGAAAGCCAAACTTACAACTTATAAGAGCCCAAGGACTTTGCATACATACCCGGCTGCATATCCGGCTATCAAGTTAATTTCCCCTTCATCAGCAGACGAAGCGAATTTGTAACTGCCCCCAAAATTTGGATTTACCACTTCATCTCCCTAGCAACAGCGTACCATCCATCCATTTTTTATTCGCACCCTCACCACCCCTCATCGAAAGCAAACCTTTCTGACGAATCGAGAACAAGTCATCAACATCCCCCACTAAAGGCTCTTTCTAATAAAAAAACACATGAAAGTATACAGATATTATCTCACGACATAAATCCTACATAACCTACTTAACTACTTCAACTACTCAAGCATTACTCTACATTGCATCGTCAATTTCTTATCTTCTCCTCTCATTTGCTTCGACTTCCCCAGAAACCCGAAAACCAAGTCAGTGGTATCGACATAATAGATTCTCGTTTCTACGGACATACGATACCTCGTACACAAGATAAGTGTTTGATCGTTATTCCTCAAGAGTCAAGACGAACAATCCGGAAGGATCCACTCTTCCCCCTCAAGACATTTATTTATTTTTCTCTCCCTCTGGTCCCCTTCTGGTTTCATAATCGTCTAGAGTTCTGATATCGACCACGGAAGCAACCCATTTGGTTTTTTGGATCCCTTTTTCCCTTACATTATCCAGTATCTAATTATCATACCTTGGATCATTTTGCCTTTCGAACGACTTGACAAGGAAAAAAAAGGTATGTTATAGTGTTTCCATCTTCATTTAGCTCAAGATATCAGATAGACGATCAATCTTTCTGTCACTTGGGAACTTCTATCATTTCTCTTCCAGACCAAATTTCTCTCTTCTAGATGATTCCTTGATCCTTGTACTCCAATGTACTCTGTGTACCGATAACGCTCGCTTTTCTTCTGCATTTACCGCCAGTGTGTGTCAATTTTGAAATATAGCTAGGTATACGAGATGTAACAGTACCCAAAGGGATCCATATGGAATTCAATAATGAGGAAGAGAAGAGAGGAAGAACCTAGTAGCCTAGGAAACAATAGAAGGAATTAGAAGATACTACCTTACCTACTTGAACTAGTAGACGAATAGCAGTACAACTCAAAGTCTCAAAGTGTATTGGTTGACACAAAATGACAAGAAATATACGCTAAAATCCGGGAATCCTAGCCAGACATCACCCACACCCACTACGGAGTAAATAAACTACTTCACCCACTTCAAGATCTCCACACCACATTTAATTTCTTGAATTCCCTTTTTCCCCTCCAACAAGTTCAACTCCTCTCTCAACTTCACCATCGACGAATTCTCTCCACCACATCCTTCGAATATACGGTTCGAACAACAACACCACCTACCACCGACAGAAAAGTTTTACAAGTAGTGTTACCATATTAACATCTAAACGTATCACGAATATCTCCACTTACATCTCCGATCAACACAACCTTGAAATCTCATAAAACTTTCATAGGATATCCGATTGATCACTACCGGACCACTAGCTAGTCAATTCGCGACGGCCCGCAGAACCTCCACAACTACTTATATCCAACTACCAAACTTTGACACGACGCCGTCCAACCCTAAAATCAATTGATCTAGTGCTTTGACTTTGGGTTGCTCATCGTCTGCATCGTCTGCATATAATTCATATAAAGTCTACAGATTTTTCTGCTATACATAATCGGTAATCCAATCCGGACATTTTTAGAGAAGTTGTGTAGGTGGGACACTTCCTGGGCGAAGACTGCCCCTTCACCAACCGATTTTTAAGGATATCTTCGCTCCGACATTCTCCATTCGAGAGTCGTGGGTAGGAGATAATTCCCTTGAAAAGAGATATTCCGATGCCGTAAGTACTTAAATTCACAACATACCTGTCATACTGGCAATCGCGACACAACTGGCGGTCTAGGCCTATGTATGCTAACTTTTTCACTTCTTATAGTCTTCGTACCAGGGGACCAACAACTCGGATAACCACCGATCACCATACTCCTAATACTCAAAGTCCATATACGACTCCGTCGCATTCAACTTCGAACTCACGATCCAATTCCTTCTCCGAGGGCTCATCGGGTCATATTCGATCAGACGATAGTCACGAATTTTCGGACAATTCACAAGATTCTTGGAACGGAGTAGAATACACTGACGATATCGATCCATCTGAATCTGCTTCACGTCCACCACGCGCAGCAACAAGATATAGAGAACAGATTAGCTCTCGAGAACAAAGTACAAGTCGGCCACCTCCCATCGACCGTGCGCACGCAAGCTACGAGCGCCCAGCACGTCGTCACACCCCTGCCGCAGAACGAAATAACCGCCCACCTATATCCCGAGTGCACCGGCACACAGCACCGGGACCATCATCAACCGTGGATCACTTAGAAGATTATCCGGGCTATGGCCGAGGCTATCCTGCTCAACCAGTCGCTCCTTATGGCGGAGGTAGGGCAGCGCCTCCGTCTGGTTATGCCCCAAGCGCATATTCCGCCGGTGCCAATAGTGCCCCATATGCACCACCATTTGGCGCTCCTGGTGCTGCTCCTCCCTCAGGGCCTGGCCAAGGAGCTTTGACACATTATGGCGGCGGCTATCCTCAGCAATATAACCAAAACTCAAACCCATTCTCTCCACAAAATCAGAATTCATTTGCTCCACAACCCTCTCCAAGTCCCGGAGGCGCTAGCTACTTTAACAGCCACGGCAGACATGATCCCATGGCTAGACACGACCCCATGGCTAGACACGACCCAATGTCTAGACACGACCCAATGTCTAGACACGATCCAATGTCTAGACACGATCCAATGGCTAGACACGATCCGATGGCTGGACACAATCCAATGGGCGGACACGATCCGATGGCTGGACACAATGCTCCCAGCGGATACCCTGGCCATGCGAATCAAGAACTTATGCATTACGCGCCTCAGCATGGCTACCCTGGAAATCAGCCTTATGGTGGAGGTCAAGGCTATCCAGGATATCCAGGGTATGTGCCTCCAGGTATGTCCCATGGCATGTCCCCAGGTATGTCCCCAGGTATGTCTCCAGGTATGTCTCCGGGAATGCAGGCCTTGCAACATGGACATCATGGACAGCAAAGTATGGCAATGGCGCCAGCAGGGATGCAATACTTTCCCCCTCAATTTTCTCCACCCGCCCCAGAGGCTGCTCCCGCTCCAGTGCCAGTACCGGTGATTGATATTGAGATGGAGAAAAAGATGGTGTTGATGGAGGAACAAATGAAGAACGCAAAACTAGAATCTGATAGAGCTAAAGAACAAGCTGAAGCCGCCCAAAAAGCATCTGAAGCAGCCACGAAGGCTTTAGCAGATAAAGAAGCACGGGAGCTCAAAGAAAAACTGGATGCTGAAGAAGCTGCAGCTATAGCACAGAAACTGGCTGACGAGAGGGCCGAATGGGCAAGGAAAGCTAACGAAGCGCAAGCTGCAATCGAGAAAAGAGCTGCAGAAAGACAAGCTGAACTGGAAAAGAAATCTGCAGAGATGGAGGCTGATTTGAGAAAGAAGGCAGCTGAAGCCGAAGCAGACCTGAAGAAGCGAATGGAAGAAGCACAGACCTTATTAGCAGCTAGGCTTGCGATTGACGCGAAAGCAGAAAAGGATGCCGCGAATGCTGCTGCACAAGCGGCTTTGCAGGCCGGATGGGAGAAGAAAGCGGCAGATGCACAAGCAGATTTGATGAAGAAAGCCGCAACAATGGAAGCAGATCTGAAAAAGTTGGCTGCTGATAATGAAGCAGATTTGAAAAAGAGAATGGAGGAGGCACAATCAGCTTTAGCAGCCAAATTAGCGAAAGAAGCGAAGGATGCTGCAGATGCTATAGAGGCCGCGGAGGCTGCAGCTGTCAAAGCTGGCTGGGAAGCTAAAATAGAGGCGGAGAAACAAATGGCATTGAGAAAAGGGGCTGAAGATGCACTCAAGGCGAAGGAAGACGAAGCAAAAGCAAAGGCGGCGGAAGAAGAAGAAGCAAAGAAAAGGGCAGACGAAATTGCTGCCGCGATTGCCGCCGCGACCGCCGCTGCCACTCCAGCAGCAGCACCGCCGCCTCCTCCACCAGTGGAGGAGAAGAAAAAACCAATTAAATTTAAAGATGCCGTGGGAAGAAAATTTAGCTTTCCATTCCAGTTGTGTGAGACGTGGCCGGTCAGTTGTGCTTTTTTTTACCCTCCTTTCTTTTTTATATTCCTTTACTCACTAATATCTTTCAAAGGGCATGGAGGAATTAATCAAACAAGCTTTCCTCCACGTTGATTTCATTGGTCCTCATGTACAAGAAGGACACTATGACCTAATCGGACCCAATGGTGAGATTATCCTGCCACAAATATGGGATACCGTGATAGAACCCGATTGGGCCATCACTATGCACATGTGGCCAATCCCAGAATCGTCAAGGCCAGCACCTCCCACTGGACCTCCTGGACCACCCCCAATGAACCCAAACGGTAGGCCCCGAAGTTCTCATGGACATCCTCATCATTTTCCTAACCGTCCTCCAGCAGGACCTCTTAACGGCGCCCGAGGACCACCTCCACCTCCCCCCCCCTGGTATGTCTATGCCGCCTGGTATGTCTATGCCGCCTGGTATGTCTATGCCACCTGGCGGATTAAGACCACCACCACCACCTGGAGTCGGCGGTCCTCCTCCCGTGCCGCCCTTCATGTCTCACGCACCCGGACCAAGAATTGTAACGGTCAAACCGAAAAAGAAGGTAGAATTAGGAGTATTGGGATGGATGGCAGGCCAGAGACCTGCGCCGTCGTCAAAAGGTATGCAACTCGTCTCATATTTCTTTGACACCATACTTATCAATTGAATAGGTCGGTCCAGAAAGTGAGCATTACGACAGACATTGCGTCACGTGAATCCCTCAACACATAATTAATACGCCTGCATACGCTTGGAATGCCATGATTGTATCGGCGAGCCTTTTTTTTAAAACAAAGAAATACAGCCCCAGCCTCGATACTTACTCCTATTCGGAACCGGAACCAGACTACCTATATTACATATGTTAATCTCGAGCGGGAGGCATTATCTCAAAGCTAGCGCTATTTCTTTTCGTGAGTTCTTTTGCGGGCGATGAGTTATGTTTTATTTTGAACACGCCATTATTCTTGTTCAGTGAGGGGATGAAGCTGATGCAGTCGCTTTCTAAACATTATTCTTTCTTCATCTATCTAATTTTCTAGCGTATTTTTTACGAACCATTTTCTTAGTATTTCGGGGGGATCTCTTTTGATACCATCTTGAGATACAAAAATTCTTTTCGACTTCTTATGCGTGTTTCCTTTTAAGACGAAGAATTAATTTCGGGTGGGAAATTGGGATATGGCATCAAATGATTACGAACAGATGAGATAAGAACTAAACGAGAGATGAATGAATGGATTGGATAGGCAGGGAAAGGATGGCGCATCATTTCTTGTTTTATATATTTATGGCATGAGATGGTGTTGGTATTGTTTTCCAGCATTACATCTTTTATTTGCGGTTGTTGTTTGTTCCTTTGCGTCTCAAATTCCTCATCAAAGTTATAGAATGTTTATAGGACTATGTGTATTTGTTTTTTTGGCTCCGATCCCTTTTGTTTGGAGTACAGCGATACACGCGTGGGAAAGAAGTTTGGAGACTGAATGAGATGAGATGGGATCAGAGGAACAAGAAGACAAGCAATTGGTTGGTATCTGTATTTGAAGACATGGTATGGTGTGTTTATTTCTATTCTTGAAGTTGAAGAAGGGGATGTTTATTAGGTAGTTAGTAGTATTTAGCGGCGAGAAAGAAAAGGAAGAAGGGGAAGTGGATGTGGAGGTGGATGTGGAGGTGGAAGTCAACCGAAAAGGAGCAATAACTAGCTGTTCATATAAAAAATATCTCTATCTATCTTAAAAAATACGTTAAGTCCAACCTGTCGGTCTCAGATGTCTGTCTGTCTACTTGAGCTTCTTCGAGCTTCTTCTGTGGTGCAATTGTAATATGAAGGTCATAAGCGAGAATGATAAAATGATAAAATGATATAAAAATATGCCAAGAGAAAATGTAAAATGTAGAATGGAAAACGGAAAATGGGCTTGCAGGTTCTGGAACGGTCTGAAGGTAGAATTACTTACTAGGTGGTAAAAATTAAGTGGGCGAGTCATGGAGCACGTATGCATGTATGCATAACTCGTAGTACATACCTACATAATCATACATGAACTTCTCTGTTGATGATCAATTTCAATCCTCACTCCCCTCACTCCCACATATCGCCCGCCCACCCCATCTACCAGGTACACAGTGCACACACACAGCCCAGACATACCAAGACTCAGAATCAGAATTAGAGTCACAACCTAGCCTAGCCTAGATATCTCACCGAGTACTATACTAATTGTATGGAATATATTACTAGGTACATAGTACTACTCGAGTATATATTTATTCGAGTATCCACTTCTCCACCGATAGTCTAGATTAGTGATAGTCTAAATTAGTAGTCTGAATTGGTAGGTAATTTTACTGTCTACTGTCTATTGTATACTGTGCACTGTATAGTCAAGTATACTCGAGTAGAAAAAAAAAATTTGGATATGGATATGGATATGAAAAGGAATGGGAAAAATACAATAACTATCAAAAAACTAAAATGCTCACCGGGACCTACCTACTAATTTTCCTTGTGGGAAACCATCGAATTATAAATACCTACAGCATCAAACGAATAGTTCGTGACTTATCTTGTACGAGTACTGAGTATATAGAAAGAAGGGTTGTAAGTTTCGTGGCACTTGCTTTGTTTGTGGGGGGGATGGCTTTGATTTTGAATTGAGATAGGATGGTTTGATTTCAAAATACCAGTAGGATTTTTTGAAAGTTGTTCATGGATGAGTGAGTAGGTGAATGTGGAATCTGAGGGTTTTTGCTATGTACGAGTATATGTATATGTATATGTATACAACAGTGTGAATTTGAGGTCTGGATATTTTGAGATGAGGAATGAGAAATGAGAAATGAGAAATAAGGAATTAGAAATAAGAAAAGCAAAACTGGAGATTTGATGTACTCGAGTAGAAGTCAATATGGTTTGAAAATTTGAATGTCTTCTCACCGTTTAGAGATATAATATGGAGAATATATTGGTATCTCTACGAGTATTATGAAATTTCATCATTTCCTTTTGTTTCCGTATATGATATACTCGTAAAAAGTTATGGTGTTATAGTGTTATAATGTGATATCATACTTGTCTCCTCGCTTCTTTCCTAGTACTCTAGAATATGTAAATGAAATTTTGCCGTTCGATTGAGTGAAGTGTGCCTATCTTCTTCTCTGTATATCTTTTCAAAATTCAAGCGTATGCATACATTTTAGCTCCCCCAACAATTTCCTGATGTGATCAAAAGTTACAGAATGGGCAACTTCAATTCAAGCCTTAGTATGAAAATTCCTCACTCAATGTTCAGAAGAAAGAAAGATAATACGAGTATAACAAATAGCCAACATGCAGTCAACGCCCTCGTGAAATCGCAACTTATATACCCATTTGACGAAAAGAACAAGGACAAATGACAAAAACAATAACAGCCAAGTCCCAGCCTGAGTATAGTGAAGCCGAACCATTTGAGTGAGATTAAAACCTTCAAATCCCATCTCCATCTCCAAGTTTTTGTCCCTGGATCTCAGTACAATTTTTTCTAGTAATGTACAGGAATAGGAAGTGAACCAGCATGAAAGAGAGAGATAGCTCCTATATCTACCATGAGATGTGTATATATATACTTATGTTCTCAGAGTAGATTGTCATCATACTTACAACCTATCAGACTCATTCCTCAACTACGAGTAAATAGGAAAAGGTGAATTCTTTAGTGAGGAAGGAGTGTCACATGCAATCGAATAATAACTTCGTATCAAACCTATTTCCCTTATATTTATAAGCTCAAACTGGAAATCAAATTTTGGTAGAGAGATAATTCGAAGGATGTTCTATTTTGAATATCAAGGGAGATGGTTCTCTAAATTTCAGAATATCTCGGTTACTTGTGAGATGTTCATTTTGTTGTTCATTCTGTTGTCCATATTGTATGGTATACTTATACAGCGGATTCCGTATGGGATATGATTCTCATTGGTTGAGCGAGAAACTGAAAAGGTTTTTGTTGCATATCTTCAAATCTTGGTGATCTTGGTAGTCTTGGTGGTCTTGGTGATCTTGGTGATCTTGGTGATCTTGGTAGGGGCCATAGCACTGACATTTGTCTGGAGTCAATTGTATTTATTTTCAAGACATGCAACAAAACTTCTTTGGTTTTGTTCGATTGGTTGATTGAATATCTCAAGGAAAAAGAAAGGGAAAAGGCCAAGGAGATGGAA